TCCTCGAGAGCCTGACGAAGCTGATCTTCGGTATATTGAGGCATTATATATAGAAGAAGACATGTGCAAAAGATGAGCCCATTTGGACGCGAATTGAAAATGTTGTGATAAAAGGAGGTTGGGGGTGGGCATTGGGTTGTGGTGGATTTTCGCGTTTTTGTGGGTGCCAGAAACAGGGGGGTGCCAGGAAGTGGGTATGTTGACTTACCGAACGAAGTCCCATAAAGCTCCTGCGAACCGGCAGATCTACCAGAGGCACAATCGACGAAACCGGGGGCAGAAACAGTTAGTTGATCTCCAGTGCCTTGGGAGAAAAATGCACGGTAGCCGTCATTCTCAGTCGCTCCAACGACGATGATATCCGTGGTAGGCCCGAAGAGAGCAGGGTACTCTGTCACATCATCCACGCCATATTGCTGAACCATGAAACGTGATTAGCAAGATGGAAGGCCAAAAATAGAAGGCGCAATTTCGGGACACTCACAGCATCATTTCCAGACGCCGTGACGATGACGATATCTTCGGCCATAAGGGCTACAAGCAGTAGCTTGTACGCGGTGGTGGTAGACGACAATTTGTCGGGGATACCTGCCATAGGTGGATGGTTAAAACGTTCTGAGAAGTGCAGCACAACCAGGCCGATAGGGAACGAGCCTTGTCGTGAGACTTACGAGATCCTAGGGACATGTTGATGACAGCTTTGCCTTCAAGCTTCTTCTGGAAGACATCGTTGCTAATCTCAATCAAAGCTGTGAAGATAGCGGAGAGCGAGAGAGTGCCTGGTAGCTTCACAGCAATCAAATCAGCTCCCTTGGCGGTGCCGTATGCTGGTCCGGCTGCTTTCGAAGCTACACAGGAGCCGTGGTTCAAGAAGTCAGTCTCGTCCTTCGTCGCGCCAGGGGCGTACATAAAGCCCTTCGTTCCCGTCATGCCCGTCCATTCCTGCCATGAGTTAGCAATTGGTCTCGGACGAGGGCATTCTTTTTGAGGATTTCATACGGAGTTCTCAGCATTGGCGCCCGTGTCAATGACATAAATCGTGACTCCCTTTCCAGCTTCAGAAGCATATCCGAATCCAGGCAAGTCCGCAATGCTTGCTCCAGCTGGCTGCGAAATTGCCTTGAGTTCATCAACTGCATCCGATTGTAGTGCAATATCAGACGGGTTAGGAACACTTGTCTTTGGCGAACCAGGAGGGCCAGTCGCTGTTGGCTGGCGCGATGCAGATGAAGGCGGTGCAGAAGATGACGGCGGTTGCTCTTCTTCCAGCCTCTCATCAGGAGTGACACCGGCAACCTATGTGTTCTTTTAGTATTGTGAGCACTTACGGACTCAAAGAAACTAAGACTTACACCAGGACGCTTGGACATAGCGTTTGCCTGCTCAGTAGTGATGTTCGCCTTGAACATGGCCACCAAGCCGGTGCGGTCACTAATGACCTCCTCCAGTGACCTTGGTGCAGCATCTCTTGAGAGTGTGTTGTTGAGGTCTTGAATCTCTTGTTTTGTGGAGTTTTGCGAAGTGAGAATGATGTAGGGCGTTGGTACAGCTGTGGATGACGGTGTGGAAGACGATGTTGCAGATGTTGAAGTAGGTGCTGCGGAGGTAGAGCTGGGAACAGACGGAGCAGAAGAAGGAGGCTTGGATTCTGCCGGATCCGAGGTTTGCGGATTTTGTGATGGGGCCGGATTCGAGATGTTTTCAATCTCAGGAGTATCACCGTTCGCTCCGGTACCGATGATTGACACAACAGCTCCGGGAGCTAGCGCGTGGGTGACACCTGCAACCACGAGAGATCCGCCGCCAGCGCCAGCTACGTAGGTTGCTCCGATAACTGCTACGACGACCTCTCCACCAGAGATTGTCTGAGTTGTCGGTGCTGAGCTTGACGTCCCGATGGTTGTCCATGTGGATGATACGCGTGTGGATGTTCTAGGGTCGGGAGTGATTAGGGGTTGTGTGGAGGAGGCCCTGGTGCTAGCTGGTCTTGTGGTGTTTGAGACGGGAGCTTGCCTCGCCATCAGGTGGCGTCTGCTGTGCATCAGATCGTTCCGGCTATCCTGGTGCGGGAGAGAGACGGCCCCGCTGCTGAGTAACAGCAGGGTGAGCCCGCGGAGTAGGCCGTTGAGATGCATATGAACGAAGGGGTAGGTAAAGAATGACTGTGCTCAAAGAGCGAAGGTAAAGATTGAATGAGTCTCAAAGGATTGTGAGCGGTGGACAGATGCAATCGATATGGAACGAATCATATTTTGGTACTAGAATATATAGAATTCTTACCGTCTAAGACGGGTCACCAAGGCTTCTGCTAGCGGCCGACGAACTGAGGCCCTAGCTGTCATCTCAACTTTCCCGTCTTGGCGTAAAGTTCAGTCAATCAATTTACTGTCAGGAGAACTTTGCGCCATGTTAATGAGCATGATCGCGAGAAAGCTCCCCCACGTGCCTAGGCTGACTGAGAGCTGCTGGTGCGGTTATTCTTAGCGATGGTGCAAGTCGCTTACACGATGCCGATAATTTAAGCCATACGGAGATAAACTTTAATAATGTTTGGACTGACAGCTCCAGAGGCGTGGCAGCCCTACGAGTTCATGACTCGTGGACGAAGAGTCCAGGCTCCGTCGCCCCTCCTTCAGGATCCCGCGACTTTATGTAAAGCATGGATATTGGCTGCGTGGTAATAAGAGGCTGTGTACCGCGCGCATCTTGACCAATACATGCCGGTTTAGCCGTTCAGGTCATGTTTCGGAATCCGCAGTGCCTTGGCTTGCGGATAAACTTGTAAATTCGTGGCCGAGCCCGAATCGACTGTGGGTTGACCTAACAAAAGAAGCCAGATCATGACGCGGTCGATGAAGTTATGAACAAAGTGCAGGGTCCATCTGGCAACTCCTCGTTATCGCTATGGAGGAGACGTAGCCCTAGTAACAACCTAGTGATAGCTGTTCTGGACATGAATGTAAGTACTGACGCGCGTGTGGTGCGTCTGCGGCCTCGGAGGGTTCGGAGTGAATCTGAGACGCTCTCCATGCCTTCTGATTGATTACAAATAAGGGGCCGGTGATGAGACCTACTCGATATTTGCGTCAAGCCAGAACTGAATATCCCAGTAACAGCCAGATGGCGTCAACGTATGTGGACGGGTTTTCCTATAAAGTGATAATGAATTATAATGACAGTCAACCTTACTTCCAATGTTTTCGTCTCTGGAAGGTTCAGAATTAAGCGAAAGCTGGAGAAAGACTAGTGACGGATATACTGACGGCTTCTAGTAGTTGATGGGATAACACGGCATTTTCCTAGCGACTCCTTAACGTGTATCCGCCAACAGTGAGTACCTGAGTGAGTCTTGAAGATCTCACAATGAGATCACCCGCTCTTGGCATGCTTTGATGGTTTCAAGGTGATACTGCGTGTCCGTTTGTTTCTCATCATTACATTGTTGATCTCGATGCCACCTCGACCTATTACTACTGCTCCGTTACCGCGATTCCCCTCTCGTGGTGCAATGTCGAGACGTTCGACATCCTATTTAAGGGCCGAAGTCACGTTCTGGAAACCAGGAGGTCCTGTCGTCAACTTAGGCAATCTGAATTCCTTCTCATATCCACGTCGCTAATAAATGCGGTACTGCTCTAATTACAATTGATTTGTGAGCTGATCGTTTAGGTGGCACCAAGGACTAATGAGCCTAGCGACACTGATCATTTAACTCCAGCGAGCCAATTGGGAAGAGACGCTAAGTCCTGAGCAATACCCGACACCGCTTTCCCCTCCCTTACTTTTCTCTCTTCAACATCGCACAGCAACCAAGCGAGACAGGTCTACAGCGCTTCATGCATCGGAAGTGATCGCTGCGTTGCTGTCATTTTGCATGTACTTGGCGCCAAGTTTTCTAGTCTAGTGTCCTCGTCTGCCGACAGCTGTAGCCTGGCGATGGCTCTCTTCTCGACGTTGAAGGATGCTGAACCTGAAAGATCCGAACCACAAGAGTTCGCCTACGCTCTCCGATGCGTTCAATTGCTCGCAGGCTATGGATCTCAGCCGATCAGTTGCAAATTGAAGCCATCTGTATTGGGACAGATCCAGCACAAGTATGAGGCGTTGTCATACGCATGGGGCGACACCACGAAGAAAGTCGAGATTATTCTGGAAGGACAACCATTCAAGATCACCAAAAACCTCGAAACGGCTTTACGTCGCCTGCGGTTGGCAAAAGAAGATCGCTTGTTATGGATAGATGCAGTATGCATCAATCAACATGATCGCCCCGAAGTCAATCTGCAGGTCAAGAGGATGTGGTCAGTGTACAGATACGCTTCGAAGGTCATTGTTTTCCTAGGCGAGGGTACGACTGGTACTCATCACGCCGTCGATCTGATACAGGCTTTGGCGAGAGAGGGTAACCGGCTTGGCCATCGGCGCGTCACGTCTTTATTGTTCACCAAAGATGCTCAGCCCACGAAAAAGGCTCTACAAGGGTTAATGAGCAGTCCATGGTGGAGCAGATCCTGGGTCATCCAAGAGTTCGCAGTTGCGACTGAGGTTGCCTTTGTCTGTGGTGACCTGGAGTGGTCCGGTGAATCCTTTTCCGAGGCACTGCGGACCCTGGTAGATGTCAGATTCAATGCAGCTCTACCGCGCGGACAGGAATACTTTATGAGGGAGATCGCATCGACACCAATAAGTCACCTGATGACGGCGCGCAAAGACTACCAAGATAGCCATTCGGAGGCGTCAAGGTCCAAAGGCGCCCCCAAACGAGACCCGCTCAGCCTTCTCTACAGGTTTCGGAGTTTCAAAGCTTCCGACCCTAGAGACAAGGTATACAGCTTGTTCCATCTAATCGGAGAGGTCTCGATGCTACAACCGGACTACAACCGCCCTGTCAAAGATCTCTTCATAGATGTAGTCAAAGCTTCCGTCGGCTCGTCGGGAACTCTCGAGGTTCTCTGCCATCACAACAGGACAAAAAGTTGCATGCCCGACTTGCCGACTTGGTGTCCTGATTGGACCGTGCAACGAGGCCAAAGGATTCTCCTATGGCAGAACGACTATGCAGCTGGGGGTAACGGAAGCAAGCCTTCAGCTAAATTCGAAGGAGATGAGCTACTGTTGCAAGGTAAGGTCCTGGATAATATTGAGTGGGCGGTGTCTTTTGAGCCAAAGATGTTCAGGAAACCGGGGTTGGTCTTTGATCAGATTATGACAATCCAAGCCCAGGTGCTAGAACGGGCGTCTTTACTTCCGAGTGGAAGTCAGGGGGCTACTTCGTTGGTCGACTCGTTTCGAAGAACTTTGGTGGGATCCCGCGTCAGGATAAGAGGGCCGCGTCACGAGGCGACGGTTCTCGGTCAAGGTGAAGCTGACAAGTTCTGGGACGCCTGGTATGTTTTGATGACTGACCAAGAGTCATCGGGAATGCATGGAGCTGCGAAAGCCTATAATGACGCTTTATACAGCGCATTAGCTGGAAGAGTCTTCTTCATTTCTGAGAAGGGCCGCATGGGGCTGGCTGACAACCCGGCAAAGGCCGGCGATGTCGTTGGCATTTTTGCTGGTAGCCGTGTCCTCTTCTGCTTGCGGGAGAAGGCGGGAGGAAGGTCAAAGAGCGATGAAGATTCGAGACGCACTTATAGTCTGGTTGGTGAATGGCGAGTGCTCCCCTAATCTTTTATGAGAATCCCAACTGTCTGGCTACTTACTAACAGTGTTGAATGGTAGTTACTTGCAAGACTTCATGGAAGGCGAGGGCGCCTCTCCTGAAGAGATAATGTCACCAATTTGTCTGATTTGATCACGTATTATAAGTGATTCCTAAGTCCCCTCATTGTCCATGGTGGAGGGCTAGGTTTTGAACAAACCATGAGGTTCGGTTCACTAGCGGAACCCTCCAAAGCACACGTGGTTTACAGGAATGAAGAGAACGCAGTTGTTTCGGTGGCTACAGGAGGTCCAATGTGAGGTAGATAAGGGAGACCCCAATCTAAACAAAACAACAAAGACGATGATAGCGAAGAAAAGCGCGCTTCGAAGAATTAGCGAGGTGTCCTAGTCCGCTACTGGCATGCCAGAAATTATCAGATGGCCCCTTGCCTCTTCCGAAGAAGGCAATTCAATCGTCGGTGCAATGCCAAGCACCGAGGCCCCTTGTGATTGCGGCCCGGAGCTTAACCCCGCAAGAATGGATTCGACTACACTACGAATAGTCTAGTCTCAACAATGAATAGGTGGATGCAACAGGCCACGACTGTCCTAGGTAGGCCAGGGGCTGGGAACATAAAGTGTTGCTGGGGCATTCCACTCCCCACAAATAGTCGAGGGCCGTTCATGCGCCGGCAAGCTTCTCGCCTTGACTCCAGTCTTTTCCAGATCTGACCTTTCTCTTCATAGACGTTCCCAACCACGCCAGATATTCTTTCCATTAAATCCAGTCTCTCCATTTATCTCTACTCAAGCAGCAGTATCTCTGGGGAATTGTCATTGTTGGCTTACACATAGCCCCCGAAACACCGATAAGAAAGAGATCGTGTCGTCATGACGTTAAGCGAAATCACCCCTGTCCCTGCACCATGGAAGCTCAAGGGCGACGTCTACTTCTTCAGCTTCTGGGTGCCCAGAAAGCAGGCAGAGCATCCTCCAACGATCACATACTCTCCACTCGAAGCGAACTCTTCATTTATTTGCCCAGATGGTAGCCGTCCCCTTGGAGGGATCAGCATGATCCAGATCATTCGTTACACTGAAAGTCCAGTCGGTCCCTATGATGAACTGATCTTGAGTCCGGGATTTCACGAGTATACGATTGAGGAGAACGGCAAACGCATCAAAAAGAAGAATGCAAGAATCACCAGGATCTACGTTTCGCAGAAGTACACATGCTGGAATGGGCGAAAGAGTGAGTTTCCTCTGTCATTCACCACAACGCTACGCTAGTTGCTCACAAAGGAGGAAGATTGGAACATTCCTAAACATCTAGCAACCTTCGACTGGAAAACAAACTCCGACGGTAGCACTTCTGTGAGAGTCTTCCCTCACGACACATCCGGTGACATCGAAGAAACCGCGGCAAGCACCACACCTCTCTTCCAAGCCACGTTCAAGCCTATCCCATATGTGCCGTCGTTCCCCCTCTCTCTTGACATTTTGAAGTACGTTGGTGTGGATGCAACTCTTGTTCAGCCCCCATTGCCCCAGGGAAGTGGAAGTCAGGGGGAATTACCAGGGACCGATCGCTGGTGCAGCATTGCGCCAGGTCAAAGCTCAAAGAAGACGAGTCTAGGTTGGTTCGATATCCGACAAGCTGATGAAAAGGGTCACATTATCGGGGAACACGAGAACTTCTGGCCTATGCTTGGAAGGTGGCAAATTGGCATGAAGATGGAGGATTCAGTTGTTTCCTTTCCCGAACCTAAATATTGGGACGCACCCAAATCGGTCCTGTAACCAAGTATCGAGCCATTGAGACCGAAGGACCGGAGAAACTATTGTGCCAGCGCCTGTGTCGTATTAGTAGACCTCAAGGTGAAGTGCCATGGGTATTGTACATGTATACTTTATGTAGGACGCCAAGTAGCAAGGAGACCAATTCGGGATCTTTCGCGCTTGACGAAACCTGTCGACCCAGTCTAGATTGTTCCACCCACACCTCTGCAAGCCCACCAAGGGATGACAGTTCATCGACAGGGGAAAAGACGTCTGGCGGTTGTCTCACTGATTACGCGAGGCTTTCCAGCCAAATTGAGTTATCGTCTCTGCCGCCGTAACTCAAGCTCGTCTCAGTGTGAGTCCCCCACTGCCTCAAGTATATATCCTGACAAGTAGGTGACAACATAAGGTAGGATGCTGGCCAACAAAAGATTGTGTAATGCTCAAGTACCTGCTTATTGTTCTTTTGTATTACTTTTTTATTCTTCTTTTTGTTATCTTTACCATTTCTATTACAAGTCTTATTTCTTTTCCCCTTCTCATTTCTACTACTTTCATCTTATGTATATTCCTTCGTGAATGCTATTTAAAGAAGAATAGGAATAAGAATGATGATAGGAGAGCTAGGTAGAGCACTTGTAGACTAGCAATCGAATTTTGTCACCCACTCGTCTCCTAGTAGACACATGTTGGCGGCGGTCTGGCCATCTGAAACGGCTAGGCAATAGCATCACAGGGATTTCCACTGTAGTACTCTCGTATCAAAGTAGGAATTTCTCTATCTTAAGCCGGCGGCTCCATTTAAGGTAACCTTGTCAATAAATGTGTTCATCCAGGTATGGACCACTTAGTTTTGGGTTGTTTTGAACGGCCTAAAGAGCAAGGAGGACCCTTGAGTTGATATTCGATTGTGAGACACTTCCATTAGTCGTGAAGACTTGATTGTGGAAGTGAAAAGATAGGCGGAGAAGATGAAATGCGACGCTCGCTCACGAAGTACGTTATCTGTCCGTTGAATCTACCTAAAACGCATTCTGTCCTTCATCAACAACCCGTGATTTACTGCGTTTACGGCCTCCCCCTTCATCAAACCCTGCACACACGACTCACCCACCAAAAGCCAGCAGTCTCCCTCCTTACGCACACAGTACGGCACATCGCCGCCTGCAAGCACGACAACAGCATCTCCCTGCCGAATATTTGATGGACCAATGCCCATTCTCCCGTCTGCCGTAACCAAGAAGGCCCTATCGAAACCATAGTTGTGAACCAGGCTCTTGTAGTAGTCTACAGCTCCACCGGATGATAAGTCCTGGAGTACGGAAAGAGCATTCGGATCCCCGCTCTGCTCTACGCACAAGGACGAAAGTGATATGTCGTTTAGCATAAGATGATGGACATAGGCTGCGCCGTCCGCGACAGACTGTTCCCAGTCCCGGCCGACAAAGGAATGCTGCTCGACTGTAGTTGCGCTAACAAACTGTCTCGTCCAGGCAGATATGGTCTCCCGTTTGAGTGTCTTCAGCGCCTCTGACAAGATGCGCGTCATCTGCTCTGTAAAAGGCTGCTCGGGTTCAACCTTGCGAGAAGGATTCACACCAAACGGCAAAGCTACCTCGACTGTGGTCACCCTGATACCCACGAGTGAGAGTACTCGCGGATCGTCTTCATGACGGATCTCAAGTTCAAGCCCAGACGCTGCAGAGAATTGTTCGAGAAAGCCGAGTCTGGCTGGCCTAGACTTGTCTCCGGCATGCACCCACGAGAGACTTGTAGCGATGCCCTCGTTGGGATTCTTGAAATCGCTCCAGTCCGGGCACCACGAGGGTATATCTAGACTCTCCTCCCGCTGTCTTCTGGTGATACTGCCATCGACACAACGTGCTCGGGTCAAGAACGCAAGCGAGCAGCTCTGTTGCAGCATGTATCGCCCAACCCTCAGGTATACATCCGTCACGTCAATCTGATAGTCTGGTCTCAGCTCGAGAGGCATAGTAGCCAGATCCTGACATTCGCGAGCAAGACCCATGAGTCCATAGATCTTGTCCCTCTGGTCGGTGGCGTTGAACTTGACCTGCGTGATTGAGACGAGCGCATCAAGGGGCCACAGCGTCTGCGCTCGCTGGAGATTAGCCATGGTGTCGATATTACGCAGCTGTTCGGGCACTTGAGACAGTCGCATGTAGCCATTTTTGCGCAGCCAAGCCGCCGCCCAGCCAAAGTGACTCCAGGGGAAATACTGCTCCCCGTGGAGGAAGATTGGATCCTGCGTCGACAGGGCGACCTCCTGAACGACCCAGATCCTAGAAAACCACCGCCTCCTTACGAGGTTCTTAAGATGCGACCACCGAAAGTCTTCCCATGGCGGCAGGCCGGAGGCTTCGTGTGCAGAGGGTCGGTACATGCGGGTGGGTATGTCATTCGGCTCCGTGGCTCTGGGATTCTGTTGCCTGAAGATGTGGTGTATGCTGTCCAGCAGCTCCCACGCGCCGTAGCAGTCGCTGGAGTCGGGACCGAGCCAGATAAGTGTTCTGATGGCGCTGCGGTACAGCTGACCCATGAGGGAGACTTGAGCCGCGCGCTCGTCGAGATTTGACTGATCGATGCAGATGCTGTCGATCCAGATGTGACGAACGGGAGGGTCGAGCTCGGAGTTGCTTCTTGCCAATTGCGAGAGCCTGTGAACGCAGGCGGCGAGATCAGCTCCGAGCGTGACGACTTGGCTGTTTATGAGGACGTCCTGGTAGCTGTGCTGGCTCGTCCAGCTGTGACTAAGGGCGTAATATGGAGGAGCCTCGCGCAGTTCCACTACTTCTAAATTTCCCACTTCATCTGAGTCGGGGTCTGGATTCAGTCGCAGAAGCCGAACTTGGTTGGTCTTGAGAGGGTTGTAGAGGCCGGCCTCTTTCGGGCCCTGGTGAGTGCTCATCTTCGGTTGTCACTGGGAAGATTTGAAGAAAAGCAGCGGGTTGTGGCTCCCTTCCGTAATTTGTACGAAGTCCTGTGGAGGATGAAACTTGGGATGCAACCCTCGTCGCAATCAGCCTGGCCTGCCTATCCCCCGCCTTCTTGGAGAGGAACCTCACGTCATTCGTGGAACTGGATTAAGTGCACAGGCTTACAGGGTTTACATGTGGCGGCAACAGCCGCATACGGCTACTACGAAGGGGCTCAGCACACAATACTCTTCACTACGCATATGTCCTTTTACTCATGAGGCGGAATTCGTACAAGTTGAAAAA